ATCAGAAATCGAGGATCGATGGGGAGGGTAGATGTAGCTGCGGCGAAGAGGTCATACCGGAAAGCGGCGGAAGTGGGTAACCGTGGAGAAGAGGCGAGGTGGGCCAACAATGTCGGCGATATTCTTAAGAATGATGGAGAGTACGTCGAGGCTCTCAAATGGTTTCGAATCGATTACGATATCTCCGTAAAGCACTTACCTGGGAAGGATTTGTTACCTACTTGTCAGTCTCTTGGCGAGATCTATCTCCGCCTCGAAGATTTCAAAGAAGCCTTGATCTATCAGGTAAGCCTCTTCAATCATCTGTGATAAATTTTGCTGTTTGGGTTTTTTTTTTTGGCCTCATCGAATCTCTGGATGTTCTGGGTTTTAGCAATGTCATGTACTATTGGGATATGCAGATGAGTATTTAGTTGAGCTATTGTCTATTTTGTGGTTGTTGTAGAAGAAGCATCTACAGCTTGCTGAAGAGGTTAATGACACTGTGGAGAAGCAACGAGCTTGTACGCAACTTGGTCGTACCTACCATGAACTATTTTTGAGGTCTGAGGATGATTGTGATGCCATTCAGAGTGCTAAAAAGTATTTTAAGAAAGCCATGGAACTTGCAAAGGTTCTCAAGGAGAAACCACCTCCTGGTGTATCGAGCAGCTTTCTTGAGGAGTATGTAAACGCACATAACAACATTGGTATGCTTGACCTTGATCTTGATAATCCTGATGCAGCCCGCAATATTCTCAACAAAGGGCTGAATATTTGCGATGAAGAGGAGGTGAAAGAATATGATGCTGTTCGTAGTAGGCTTCATCATAACCTTGGAAATGTTTTTCTGGAGCTGAGAAGTTGGGATGAAGCAAAGAAGCACATCGAAATGGATATCAATATCTGCCATAAAATCAATCATTGCCAAGGAGAAGCCAAGGGGTATATCAATCTTGCTGAATTACACTACAGGACCCAAAAGTACGAGGATGCACTTTTATGTTATGGTAAAGCTTCTACTCTAGCGAAATCTATGCAAGACGAGAGTGCATTGGTTGAACAGATTGAGCAAAATATCACGATAGTCAAGAAAGCCATTAAAGTTATGGAAGAATTGAGGGAAGAAGAGCTTAGGCTTAAGAAGTTGTCTGCAGAAATGACTGATGCCAAAGGCACTTCGGAGGAACGAAAGTCTCTGCTCCAAGTACATGCTTTACTTGAACGTCTTATTGAGAAATCTAGCATGGTATTTGCATGGCTTAAGGTGAGTTCTATTTCTCTTTAATCACAATGCTTCATACCATGTTTGCATGTGTTTGAAAAGTTTCCACAAGTTAGAGTTATTCATCTTAGGGGTTTTTAGTGAAGAATAAGCATGGCTAGATCTTCAAATTTCACATCAGGTACTATGGGCATATATGTTATTTCCTTAGACAGTATCCAAGAAATACCTTATTTCTGCTCTCTCAAGAAAACATATCTTTTCAGATTTATCGCTGGGATAGGTAGAGTGGCAAAAACTATAGTTACTCTGTATCAAATGGGTTTTAAGCATTATATCATCCAACTGTCTGTACGAAATTTCCAATGTCTAATTATACAGTGCTGGAAGTTTTAAGTAGGAAAACTGCCATTCAATCTTTGCATGCAACTAAAGGGATTCGTAATTTTTCTTTGGATGTTAAGCATCTTGAATATTCAAAAAGGAAGAAGAAAATATCAGATCAACTCTGTGACAAGGAAAAGCTGAGTGATTCCTTCTTGGTTGTCGGAGAGTCTTACCAAAAGCTCAGAAATTTCAGTAAATCCCTGAAGTGGCTCGATAAAAGTTATCAGGGATACGAAGCAATCGGTAATCTGGAGGTGAGACTTGTTTGCTTGCACGCTTAAATATCACAACTTATATTTCACTTTTTTCATCAGAATGTGATTTACAAGACAGAAATAACTGATTAGGCCTCTACTGAACATGTTCTGTGTCTAAAGATCACTGTTTTTACCTTTTTGGATGTGCCAATATTATAGCTTTTCTTCTTTCTTGATTCTAATTTTCACTTATGCTGGTCTCTTGTAGGGTCAAGCACTAGCGAAAATTAACATAGGTGATGGTTTGGACTGCATTGGCGAATGGACAGGAGCACTCCAAGCATTTGAAGAGGGGTACAGGTAGATTCAATTATTAGTAATCTATGTAAAAGAGTCTTTTAATAAAGTGTGCATATGGGTTTAATTGATAAATTGACAATTCCATTGCATAATATGACTCTGCATTGTAGTTCTAATTCATTGTTAGAAAGTTAAACGCTTAAAGCAGAGCAAATGTGAATGTGATATAATTAACAGCTTCTTGGTTGTCTCTCTCGACTAAGTTCAAGAAATATGGCAATATGGCTATACATATAAATAATGCATGTAGAACCAATGCTTTTTAAGATCACTGTGGATTTATACAGATTTTTCATTTACAGTTAGTTGAACTTTTTTCTTCGACTTTCCTCTGCTTTATAAAAAAACATTGCATATACATGGACGTGAATGCACACACATATTTCATGCTAATGAACTAACTGATGGTTTTTTTTATGGATGTCTTCTCATGTGATGCTGCAGATTTGCTTTGAAAGCTAATAATCCTTCAGTTCAGCTTTCTGCACTGGAACATATGCATTATAGCCATATGATCAGATTTGGGAATGCTAAAGAAGCCAGGTAATCTATACTATGTAGTCGCTAGACTAAATCTACTTTAAGGTTGGCAGTGCTGCAACTAGGTTTGTTTTTTCAAATATTTCGTTTTTCTCATAGATATTCTACTATTTAGGGAGTTGAAGGAGAAAATAGAAAATCTGAAGGAGTCAGAACATGGTGGGAGAGCCGAATGTGGTACAGAAGATGAATGCTCTGAAACCGACTCAGAAGGGCATGTGAATATATCAGATGATAGGCCAAATGCATGTATCTCACCAGAACCTCAAACATCAAATTTACTTAGATCAGAACCGTTAGCAGATCTGGACGACCCAAATGATGATGTGCCACTAATTTCATTTCTCAAGCCTGGTAAACGTCTGTCCAAAAGGAAACAAGTTTCAGGAAAACAAGATGTTGACACTGATCAGACTAAGAAAGATTTCTCTGCAGCAGGAGATTCTCAGCAGACAGTCGTTGGTCGTAAGCGTATTCGTGTAATCCTCTCTGACGATGAAAGTGAAACTGAAAATGGGTTGGGATCCCCTAAAGGCAGTTTTCACAATGTTCCAAGGCAGAATGAGGAGGTTTCTGAGGAAAGTATGTATTTTGATGGTGCTGTTAATCATACGGATAATCGTGTCATTCAAGATAATGTAGAAGAAGGTTCTTGCTCATATACATCTCTCCATCCCGTTAACGAAGCTCCAAATGTTGGCAATTGTAGACCTCAGAGCAATAATAAAGCTGTTGAGACAGCTGATTGTAGTAAAAGAGGATCTCAATGTGATGCTGGCAACTCCAATAGCACACATTGCAAAACTGGAGCTGCCCTCGTGAACTTCCACGCTTACTCCAAAAGTGAGGATGTGAGCAACCGTGACCTGGTTTTTGAGTTATCATTGACTATTATCTATTCCTGATTGGATTGGATTGGATTTTTTTTTTCTACGTCCTCCATTCTTCTCCTCGATGACTATATCTTTTACTTGTTGCAGCAAAAAATTAAAATTGAAATTGAAAATGAACACATGGCCTTAGACTCGTGTTCTGGCAATGATGAGTCTGTGAAGGTGGAGCTTACTTGCTTATACTATTTACAGCTTCCTGATGATGAAAAATCTAAAGGTATGTGAACTTTTTAATTTCACAGCAAACATTTAGCATGAATCAATCTCTATTGTTTCATCTCATGCTTAATACTTTCTATTTTGCAGCACATCTTGCAGTAAACTTTTGTATTGAATTTTGAGCTCTAAAAGTTGTTTGAATCTTTGAACATCCAATTTGGGTTTCATCAGGTCTGTTACCGATCATTCATCATTTGGAATATGGTGGTAGAGTTCTGAAACCGTTGGATTTATATGAGATTCTCACAGGGGCTTCTGAAAATGTTGTGATTGAAGCTTCTGTTAATGGTAAGTATCTTATTCGTACAAATGGGATCTACTCATGATATTTGAATTTATGATTTTCAAGCTGATCTTACTAGGAATTTTATTTGTCATTACAAATTTTCTTTAACTTCTTACATGAGTGTGGGCTGAACTGCTGTATTGGTTTTTAGGATAATGATCATTGATTCTCCCTTCTTATTTATATAATACTGCTGAATCAGCTATGTAATTAATTTTTGCAGGCTGGGTTCACAAGCGCCTGATGAAATTATACATGGACTGTTGCCAGAAGTTGTCAGAGAAACCCAGTATAAAATTGCTTAAAAAATTATATATTTCAGAGGTGAGGACATTACTCCAAGTTTGCCAGTTAATGGATGAAATAGTTTCTTCTCTTTGTTTTCTTTCCCACCTACATAAAAGCAAGCTAATCACAAATTATAACTTTATTTGGTGTATAATAAGAATGGTTATTTCATTTTTATGTTTATCAGGTGGAGGATGATATCAATGTGTCAGAATGTGAACTGCAAGATATATCAGCTGCTCCTTTATTGTGTTCCCTCCATGTTAACAATACAGTTGCTATGCTGGATCTCTCCCACAATATGCTAGGTAAAAGTTGCCTCTAACGTCTTACCTAACATCATTCCATGTGCGGTGTTAAATTTTTAGTTTAGCAAGCGAAAGTTAGCTGGTTAGATGATAAGGAACGTATAGTAAATTCCAAAGTTCTTATATTCATCGTCTTATGGGTTGTTAGGGAACGGAACAATGGAGAAACTGAAACAACTTTTTGCCTCATCAAGCCAAATGTATGGTGCTTTAACTTTGGATTTGCACTGCAATCGATTTGGTCCAACTGCTTTGTTTCAGGTACACTATTAGTCCCAAAAGCTAGAAATTTCACATATTCATGTGTTTTTTTCGTATTGTTTAATATACTCCTCTTTGACAGATCTGTGAATGTCCTGTCCTGTTCACTCGGCTGGAAGTCCTCAATGTATCCTGGAATCGACTTACAGATGGTTGTGGATCTTACCTCTCAACTATCTTCAAAAACTGTCGGGGTATGGTTTCTTTTCTGTTTTTAAGTTGATTGTCATCTATAGTATCTAATTGGTCTGGTGGTATCTTTTGTTTCTTTTCTCCATTTGGTTTATAAATCCAGTAGATATACGAGATACCAAATGTTACAGTAATAAACTTCACTCTTTTTTTCCCTTCACGCGCTTATGTTTATGTGTTTCCTTTTGTTTCTTAGCACTTTACAGCTTGAATGTGGAACATTGTTCACTCACATCTAGAACAATCCAAAAGGTTGCTGCTGCTTTGGATTCAGAGTCAGGACTTTCACAACTCTATATAGGTAAACTTCCGAGTTCGTTACCAACATTCATTTTTATCTTGTTTTCATTATACTAAAATAGTATATCCGTACTTGTATGGCAGGTTATAATAACCCTGTTTCAGGGAGTGCTATTCAAAACCTCTTGGCTAAACTGGCTACTCTAAGCAGGTTGAAAGAAAAACAGAAAGCTGTTTCTTTCTTATTTTTCCACTTGTGTTAATCAATCTAACACTTGCATGTTAAAACCGTTTCAGCTTTACAGAACTGAGCATGAATGGCATAAAGCTGAGCAGCCAAGTTGTTGATAGCCTTTCCGCATTTGTTAAGACTCCATCGTTGTCAAAACTTTTGGTTGGCAGCAGCGGAATAGGAACGGTAGTTCTATGCTAAATGTTTAAAATGAATTCTTATATCGTGATAAATGCATCCTTTATTCATCTGACGATGTTTTACAAATTATTCTAGGACGGAGCTATAAAAGTCGCTGAATCTCTATGTTATCAGAAGGAGGAAACTGTGAAGCTAGACCTTTCATGTTGTGGACTAGCGTCTCCTTTCTTTCTTAAGCTCGTCGGAGATATCACACTAACTTCTAGCATTCTTGAGCTCAATGTTGGTGGAAATCCAATCACTGAAGAGGTATGCTATCTATGACCTCAACATCATAAAGCTCTTATCTCTAAACTAGGTTGAGGCTGAAATGGAGATAAAATAAGCTAAATAATTTTGCAATCAGTCAAACTCGTAATTCTGTTATCATTTCACAGCTCAGAAACGATCTTCGGACCAAATGTAAATATTTTTATCTCAAATCATAATTGGCTCTCTGAAACAATATACAAACAGGGAATCAGTGCACTGGCGATGCTGCTTACAAATCCTTGTTCAAATATTAAAGTTCTGATTCTAAACAAGTGTCACCTGAAGCTCGCTGGAATTCTATGCATAATTCAAGCACTTTCAGGTCTGAAATATTATTTTCAATAAATCTCTTGTTGTGGCTATCTTCTCCATTTTAAACTATCGACGAAACGGTTTGCAGATAATAAGAATCTCGAAGAGCTTGATCTTTCTGAGAATGCGAAAATGGATGAGACTATGTTTGGCCAACCTGTGAAACAAATCTCAGAAATGGGACAGCAAGTACATGGAGCATTTGAATCTGTCACCGACATGGAGAAAGAAGTAGAGTTATGTGAAACCAACATGGACTGTGATGGTCTCGAAGTTCCAGACAGCGAAGATGAGCAAATGGAGGAACAAACTGCAACCTCGACAAGTCTTAGTTTACCACGCAAGAACCATATCATCAATGAGCTTTCAGCCGCTCTTGCGGTGGCTAACCAATTGCAGATTCTGGACCTAAGCAACAATGGGTTCTCAGTTGAAGCCTTAGAAACATTATACATGTCATGGTCATCATCAGAATCGCGAACCGGCATAGCCCAAAGACATGTAAAAGATGAGATTGTTCATTTTTATGTCCAAGGAAAGATCTGTTGTGGAGTCAAACCATGCTGCAGAAAGGATTGAAGATCTTCCTTGTCTGAAAATGTATTTGCAGTTATGGATCTCTTCAAGTCTATTAATAAGCCTCTCATTGTTCTTCTGGTGCAACAGCTTTGTAAGTTTAATGCTTGATGTCAGATTTAAATTATCACCTTATTTTAATTTTCGTAGTATTATAGATATGAATTTATTGAGTATTTAGACCGTTTCAGAATCTTGTACATATTTGATTTCACGATTTGGGAGATAAGTTCAATACATATAGTTTTATCGTCTCATAGAATTAGTAATGTTCAGTTTAGTTGTGGTTTAGCACTTTTTGTTTATAAAGTTTTGTAGTCAAATTAAAAACAATCTAAGGCGGGCGTATCAGTTTTGTTTATATTTTCTTGATCCGGTTTCAAAATTTTCAGATATAGAGCAAGTACAATTCTTTTGGTCAACCTAAAGTATGTTTAATATCTAAATTGTATTTTTGTTACTAATTTGGACTGGATGTATTAGGCTAATTATGATTGAACATCCATTAATAGTAGAGTAGAACTTT